AAAATCGCTTTTCTCCGCTTTGGGAGCATCATCAGGATCACTAGCCTTGTTTGTTCCCTATTTATTATCACCCACTTCAATAATACCACTTCTTAGGGGAAAAATGGATTCATTAGATGATCCGTGATCCTGTCACTTCCTTTGTCGTTCCTGTTTATGAATGACAGTACCCTCATCAGAAACAGAAGAAAATCAAGTATCCCGTACTAAATACAAGAATCCAGCGGCTAGGTCAAGTAAAAAATTTTGAGGAAGAACAGATCCTGAATAATATTATGAGCCCAACTTAGCTGACAAAGCCTCCCTCCTAGAGGCAGTTTTTTGCATATAACAAGGTATATCACAGAAATAGGGCTATGATAACAAAACATACTGTTATCTGGGAATCAAACATATACACAATTGGCGTGCCTAAAAGGATAAAACACTAACTCGAACAACAGCTAGTACCCACTTACACCAGCAAAAACCATCTTAAATTTGAAGGCACAGTTTACAATAAATATGTTTTCTGAGATTTCCCTATAGCATGGATTTGAGGCCCCTTGTATACCATTTCTAACGCTTTCAGGTCAGAAAACGGCCTAGATAGGGCGTTACAGAGGCTCACATATTGTCCCGTGTGTATGCGCGGACGAATTTCACAGGCATTGCAAAGACTGCACCAATCGCAAGGAAGCCAATGTAGCGAGAACAAATAACTTGCCATGACCCATAGTGACAATGAAAGGTAGTTCTGTACGTTCTGGCTTGATGTAGTCAGCTCTTTGCGCAATTGCAGCAACGAAAATCTCGTCCGAATACCCCCTCCATGTTGTTTTCGTCACGGTATCTCGTCCAACCTCTATTCCCCTACTTTTAAGTGGCCATATTTTTCTCAAAAAAGGCGAAATCTCTCGCTTTCATTACTACCGATAAACTATTCCCAACCCATACTTTCGCTTTTCGAGTAACATCAAAGTCATGAAAGATGAGAATGATTTCTGAGATAACCTCCTAGGACGGATCTGGGCCCCCTAAATAGCATATGTGGCGCTGTCAGATCGAAAAATGGCCTAGATAGGACGTTATAAGGGCTCGAAGATTGTAACGGCCGTATGACACACCAAAGGCGGACGAGTTTCAAATGTACTGGAGAGGCTACAACGTCCACACGGGAAACACAAGAAGGAGCTTTAGAAGTACTGGCTCGGACCTATGACGGCAGTGGAGGGCAGTTTTGCACAATTTTGGCTTGATGTAGTCAGCGATTTACGGGACTGCATCGAATGAAATATTGTCCAAATACCCCTTCCATGCCATTTCCTTCAGGGTAATCTCGTGCGAACTCCATTTTCGCTACTTTTGGGAAGCCACCTTTCGAACGAAAACGGCGGATTTTCTCGCTTCCTTTGCCACCGATGCACATTTCCAACCAACACTTCCGCTTTTTGACTTGAAAAGGGTACCTCAAAATTGTCATGAACTGCGCCTTGATATAAGTTCAGAAGTACGACCTATCTTGTAATTTAAAATGTCAGGGCCCAGCTCAGTAACCTACTACTATTTATTTTTATTTTCCTGACGTAGTAACCGTAATGATGTTACCGAATGAACAGTGAAGTATGAAATGAAATTGTGAAATGAATCTGAAAATTCTGAGATCTACCTCCAACTCATAGGCAGTAACTCCTCGTCTAAGAGGTCAAAACCTTTCTCGGAAACTGCCGACATTATTTATAATTCGAAGTAATTTGGAAAGATGATTCGAAGAAAGTACTGTAGTTTTATTTACCTAGCAACAAGATGTCGGAAATCGTGTAGAGCCAAACCGTCAATGTCGAACTTGCCAGTTCCTGCATCTGACACTTTTACAGATACCATTGTATCTTTACATCTAGTTCTGAAATCATGAGTGTTGACAATATGGTTCATAACCGAAATATACAATAGATTTTGTGTTCAAATGCAGTGCTAAAATGAAACGGTCTTTCATTCAAAAGTGCATTACTAGCAAGGGAGTGCAGCACTGAACCTAGCTGTAGTCAATTTTTCTTACAGAACCTATTTCTCGTTGATATTCTTCCCAAAGTGACTGTACCCAATTTGAAGTACATGGTAAGATCGCCTATTTCACTTTGCACCTATTGCAGCTTTGATAGCATCAGCAAGAGCAGTGTGTGGCCATGTTTGATGCTCAGTTCTACTAGGTTCCTTCACCAGTTATTCCAGAAAATAAGGTGAATATGGTAACAGAAACAAATAGAGCGGGCTTCTATGAGACTATGCAGCGGGAAAGACATGCCGTTGAGATAACAGTAGCTGACTACTAAAAGGAAACCCTGAAATTTCGGGAAACAGAAACCACGCAGGTTCTCAGTGTTTTCCTAGACTGCCAATAGTGGTCCCTGGAAACCGCTTCACCATGATAGCTGATCAATTTAACGGCCTAAAACAACTACATTATTTTACAACGTATTATAGTCTAGAAATGTGTGCACGTCGGGAGTAAAAATAATAATAGAATAAGAATAGAAAAAATGGGATCACAATCTTTAACACAATACATACCTAACAGTTGCGACCCGCCGTTGTGTCTTGGGACAAACCTTCACCTCAGGGACAGCAGGTCCAAAAAGTTTCGACTTTGTTGAAGCGGCAAGTGGTTCTCTGAATGAACTCGTTATAGCGTATTTCAACAGAGGATTCGTGATTGAACGACACCAAAATTACCTGTATTGCATGATAAATTTCTCCTCAACCGCTGATGACGGTAGACTAATAAGGTAATCGAACGCCATCAATAAATGAGCGTACTAAAATTTACACAAATGATTATTACTTACTGACTCAGAGTGGGTCATAGCTTTGCGGAACTACGAATTACTCTGGATTTGTTCATCAATGGTCAATAGTTAACTCTAATTCCTTTTTCAACTCTAATTCTTTCCTAATCCAGTCTGATAGAATCCTCTACTGGCTGCTTTCATAGTCCGCGATCCGGCGCGCTCGCGGGCCAGATCGCGGACTATGAAAGTAGCCACTGAGAATTCACGTCTTTCTCATAACAAATGGTATGTATGTAAGCGCTCAAGCTGTAGAAAAAACTTCAAAAAATTATATTAGTCTCCCTCTATAAGACGAAATGATAAGCTGCTGACGGCATCAGCTAGTGGCAGAGGCTCGACAGAGAGCAATTTCTTTATCATGGATTTAAGGCTTACTTATGTTTACAACTCGTGTGAGAAGGTAAAACATGAACCCTCTAATGGATGAGGACTGAATTTGATCGGGATAAGAGAGTAAAGTTTGATTTCACTGACGCTCATCGTTCCCCCCAGATATGAGCTTTTAACAAAAAAAAGCTGTTAGCTCGAATACACGTTCCCTAACGGAGATCTGGAAGAGGAACGCTGTAAACATCTAGTTACAGTGAGCCAGATAACTACATGCCCTCTTGTAATGGTCTGCATTGCGCTTACTCATCTAGTAGCAAAACGCAGAACAAAAAAAAAACAATTAAAATTACAAAGCATACCATTTCTTCAGTGATTTTCTCGTCTAGCACCTTTTCGAGCTTTTCTCTATTCAGCCACTGAGTGCCACTTGTGTTTCTAAATCGAATAATCGTTTCCAATAAGTAGTGTTACACGGAATCTGATCAAAAATAACATATATGCTAGGAATTTCCGTTCATGGATGCTTATTAAAGTCAACAGTAGCACAGTTATGAAAATTATATTTCACATTCTTAACACCGGAAGACATTGAACTATAATAGAATCGCACAAAAAAAAACAATTTCATTAATTTAAATAATAATAAGCAATAAAAATGGCAAACAATTACTTACATTGACTCCAGTTCAGAACTTTTGCTTCCTGTTGACAGGTGGTCATTATAAAACGATGTGATGGCTTTTGTTTTTATGCCTATGTCCTGCAAAAACATTAATGGGTGTGGGCATACATTTCAAACACAAAATAGTCCTAACACCGAAATCACGTGCCAAGAAACCTGCAGTCGAATGATTCGGGGAGAAAATGATTAAAAAATGGATGATGTCAAAATACTCACCGACAACAGTTTGTAAAATTTTGGATGGAGAGTGAAAAATCGACTATCTTTAGGACGACCTTCTTCGTCAAATGACAAACTGCGGAACCTGGAGAAAACGAAGGTAGTGAGTCAGTTTACGCAAACTACACACAAAGAAAGGACTCTTCAATCTCAAAAGTCTCACTTGGGCATTATCTCATCCGGAGGACGCATAACAGGCCTGGCTTTCAAGTCGAATAGACCAGAAGGAAACAGATAGCATATCGCCCTGGAAAACTTTCTACAATAGGGCGAAATATAAACAAATGGGTTTGGGAAAGCCGTGGTAAGCTCTTCCAAAAGCAAAACCGCAATCAAAAACAAAACCTACGCATCTATATCATCCTGTGTCATGGTATGGGCATCCAAATTCATCATGTTCGCTAAATGACGACGACCTAATTCAAAGTCAGCCCTAAACGCAAAGCTGTATAATAAATTCTACAACATAATTATCATAATGAGCACACACCTTTCTCGAGCCATCATTGCTGCATGGTCCTTGCTGAGCTTGATATATGTCTCCAAGGCTCGGCCAATTTTCTTGAGAGATTTCTCTTCCATGGGGGCTGATGAAGTTGCAGAATCTGTTGCAAGTAATCGCGCTGCACGAATCCTAGGCAGCAGCCTCCGTAACATCTTCTGCCGCTCCTGAAGCTAGCTATTAAAACGGCAAAATTCAGGAGTGTTTCCGGAACGGCCAAGAGATTCCACTCTCCGTTTCTCATGACAGCCTCCAGCGATCAGAAAAATAGGTCATTATATTGCATTTGTGTCGAAACATCGAGGCAAATACATTTTTATCCGCTCCACGACCATATATTCTAATGTTCATAGGTTTCCTTTACATCAACACCAACCTAACTTCACGCACTAGCTACTTCAATTGTTTCTTAGATTGCCAACGCTGCATTAGACCCCTTAGCCATAGCTAACGCTTGGTCCTTTTGCGAAATGCCGTGCCCTATCTACTTGAAAGATAGAAGTGTTTATGCCCAAAATGGGTTCTGTTATTTGTCCAAATTTTGATCCAATTGGCTTTTATTTCTTAAGCTACACGACCAAGATGTCTACCAACTCTGTTCGGCTGACTTCTCGGCGTTTTAATTCTCAGGATCCTGGAAGGACGAAAGCTATCTAGTATACTAAAAATATTCAAATGACAACAATCATATCAATTCCCTAGTGCCTTTCGCCCTTCTAGGCTCTGAAGAAGGTTAAAACGTCAGTGAAACAAAGAGTTTCTCAAGGTCTCGAAGCCGTTCAGCTCAAAAAGTAAAAGTTACATGTGAAGAAAATGCCGAAATACACTGGGGGCCGTACTTGAACATTTTAGCCAGATTTTCCACCCACGCAACGAAGCTGAACCTACCAATAACCCACCTACATGCATCAGCTATTCAACCCGAGCCGAAATTACTTCTGTAGGAATGAAGCTCAAGTCGGACCAATTTTGACGCAATTCTAACGCTTTTCCGGAGTCCTGTTCTAGTCTTGCAAAGAATGTTTGATATAAGAGTGACTAGGAAAATCGTTCTGAACAACTCTGTTGTTTGCCACAAATAGAACCGAGAGAAGAATTCTCATGAGAATGGGACCTTTACGAAAGTGATTTAGTTGCCCCAGAGCTCAACAGGCATAGGTCGGTTAGCAGGTTGGGCCAAACCAAAATAAAGCTCCAGAAGAGGTAAGCAATAGCCTGGTTACACCCTCATGAACACTAATAAATGCGCAAACGCCAAGAAATTCAGTGAGATATCTAAGTAACTTTCAACTATATACTTTGTCTCAATTAGAAACACAAATATAAGCTCTTCATGTTTTACCGTAACACTATATGCATTGAACAACAACTAAAATAATGGCTTTCGGAATGATAAGAAATGCGACACTAAGTGTATCCGAATAAAAGTGAACAGAGAAAATGCCTTAAAAGCACTACAAGGAAATTTGGGAAAGAAAGCCTGACCTTGAATAGAGTAATTGAGGTTCAATTAAAATGGGTATTTACTTTTTTACATCACATGATTGTTCACAACACTTCTGACCAAATAGAGATTTAACGCTTTGAGTCATCAAATGAAAATGGTCCGCATTCAAATAACTTTCGCACCAACAGTATAGGCAGTTATGAGGCTCCTCAAATGGTTTGAAGTGTACATGATAAAAGGAACACAACAGTAACCCGAATCATCAACGAAAACAAAACCCTAGAACCTCATCATAATCTCACTGGGTTATTGGTCATTGTTCTGGTACTATTGCGATTATGCTCAAGGTAATTACGATAACAAGAAATAGTATGGACATAGAGTACATAAATATAAATAGAATACATCCTCTGAAATGCTCAAATCACAAAACGCTAACAATTGAGCAATTACATTTTGTACATTACAAATGTACAAGAGGAGGCGGTTGCCCACCAGTCTCAATATACTGAATCATATTCAGGAAACGAGTCCTCTCAGGCATTAGGCGGAAAGAAATACAGTATCCAACCAGCTTATCTGTTAAAGATGCCGTTTGTTTGTCAAGTATAGTCACATTATGTGCATAAGGCGCCTAAATGAGCAAATAACTCGGCAAAAAACGAAATTACAAAAAGTGACTTCTCAAAAAAATAGTTGTCATACCTTTCTGTTTGGGCTACATCCAGAATAAAAAACGCAGTCCGCTACGATCCATTCTTTCCACAACTTATCGTGCTTGTGAGCAGTAATCTGGAAAATGTGCTACTTTGGAAGGTGTACAAACCATATCGAAAGCCGTTCCGCAGGTGCGCGCGCTTCAGTGTCAGTGAACTCACTCAGCTGAAAACTACGCTGGACGAATACGAAAACCTCACCTTAACACCACCTTCTACGCCGACCTCATATGAATGAAATGTCTTTGATCCAGGCTCCGCTATTTTCACCTTACCAGAGTAGAATTCCTGAAATTTCGTGATTACACAAAACAAATTAAGGAAGTAGTTGTTATGTTTCCACAGAAGTGCTCATGAGTGCATAAAGTGCCCACAATTTCATTGCAATCATAAGGCCAATTGTCGTGATCAAACAGAAGATATCCATCGGTACACTGCCAAGGTAACCAGTGATCGAGCACAGATACGGAGAGCTTTTCGAAGGGCTGCAGTCGCCGCGACAATGTTCCCGAGAGAATGACCTAGGGTAATTAGGTTAAAATGAAGCAATCACTGCCAGTATGCGATCGTGCGATCGTGTCAGTCGTTAGCTAAGATACAAAACGAAAATTACCTCGAAAATTGCATAGTTTCCATCCTGCGGTGCATCAAATCCTCTGCGAGCAACAGCTTTGCGACACACTTCCTCAGCAGCAAGATCTATTTTTACATTGAACGGCCTATTCTCCCGTTCCCACACATGAATTGGAACTAATAGCCCATCTGCTCGCGCCTCAAAAACCAGTCAATTTGAAGAATTTCTTCAAATAACAAGGAAGCAAAAATAGCTATCGCTGTATACTTACAATTGTTGGATTTGTTGCTTTGCTAATTTGCGCCTGTTCGACCATAGCCCGACAGATTTCTTCACGACTTGTCACCTCAAATTTCGCATTTAACTTTTAGTTTCAGAAAATGCAAAAAAAAGGTTAAAAACATTCAAAAGATCTCATATGACAGATATTATGTGTGAAGCTGACCTCGAAAATGACGTCATATCCATTTATCAAGTCAATGATTGCTCCAATTTGTCCAGCTGTATCTTCATAACATTTGCTCTCATCATCATTTATTTCGAATAATGACGGCCCAAACACCTTTAAAAAATATTTTAAAGTTTTTAGAACATTAGAGCAAGACAAGAACGAAAATTAATAGAGCTATTTTTTGGTGATTACATTGAAGAAGGAAACACAAGGGAATAAGTTTGGAAAAACGTAAACACGAAAGGTTACCTTAGCCACGTTCTCCACACTTGCTTTGTTCACGTCCTGGTATTTTACAACTTCGCTGAGATGGGCAATCAGTTTTCTCAATGTATGATAATGAACCGACGGCATTTGTTGAAGCACACAACGATATTCTTGATAACGAATAGCATTGTCCGCCTTTCCACGTGCCGCGACTGAATGAAAATTGTAATGTTTACATATGTTTAAAACCCTTTGTCTGCTATTCTAGTAGGACATTTACAAACTACTGAACGAAAAAGGAGCCCCATAAGCTAAAAAAAGAAATTTATTCTAAAAACAAGAACACTTTCTGCCCGACCTTTTTCGCTTTCTATGACTTTGACCTTTTAATTTTCAAATCTCGCAAGATAAGTTCATTTTCAACCCAAAAACTAAGCAATCTGAAAACTGAAAAAGATTAATAAAAAATAGCGTACCTAAGTTGAAGATTTGCTTGTGAAGCGTTGGCGGAAAGAGTGGTGACTTCAGCCGACGGAAAAACTGACGTAGTACGTCGGCAACCGCATAAGCAGTCTCCTCTCCAGATGAAGCAATGTGTGTTTTGACTGGGTCTATTAAATACAAAAATTTACAAATATGCAAAGCAAAGACAAAAACTGAGCAGGTCTCAATTGTGTGAACCAGCAACTCAATAAATCACAAACAATACCTTCCATGAGCCGCTTGTATATGTCTTTCGCTTCCGAAATCTTTCCATTCCTCCTATAAATGCCTTCAGAGCGGATACCATACGCAGCAACAAAACGTATGCATTTGTCAACCAGCTTAAAAAATTGTGGAATCAAGTTATGGATAATAAACCTTTAAATATATATAGATAATGTTTAAAAAAAGTCCTATTAAGAAACTAACAATGGGTATGTTATCTGCGGTTAGCCGGAAATCTTCGAGAACTGTTGGTGTCAGAGCGAGTGCGTCTTGAATAGCCGTATACCATTTCATTGTACACAAATCGTCACAACATTCCAAGTAGAGAGCGCTGGAGTTCGAAGCAAAATAAGCATTGCTATACCGTACAAATAAATATTGTAAATCACTCAATTCCAACGAAATTCGTCCTCCTCGAGCATTACAGTACTAATAGAGAATGACAATACAGATTCAGGCAAATCTAATAACAAAAACTCACCATCCTTCGAGCGAGATCAAAAACGGTCCTTTCTGGTCTTTTTTCTTGCATTTTGGGCACCAATCTGTTTTGTCGACACGCTCCCGCAACATCAATATCTGCAATGATTTCACGCACCTTTTTATAAAGACCTTTTTATAAAGACCCAGCAAAGTTAACAAACCACTCAAACTCAGAGAACTTCTAATAAAGGAAGGTTCTCTTTTGCAAAGAAATAAATTATGGATATTTTAGGAGCAAAAACGTTAAAGTTGGTGAAGCATGTCCTATTGTTATACGCAAGATAACCACTTCGATTCAAGAAAGTGCAGGCAAAGAATGGCACGCGCATAATGAAAAGGTAGACTGATTTCATGAGAACCTGTATAGTGCAGAAAGGTTTTCATCTAATCGTATGAGTCTTAGTTTATCAACTAACAGCAGAACTTTGTAAAATCGAGATGATCTGGGGAGAAACCAGTTCATGACGCATGGCAACTGGCTTTGCTCTAAACATCACTTCAGATAGAAAGCATAGAAAAGAAAGATACCGAGGAATCGGAAAGGAAACTACTCCTGTTCTTTCTGGACGTTGCAAACAGGTTAGCGTAAACTTAAACTGGGAGGGTAAACTGCATGACAATATCTATCTGACCAGATCACTAAATCTAATAAAATCACATGAATACTTCGTACGAGCACCCTCTGTAACACGCGTTAGCAATCGCATAATTTGAAAAGAATGTGCTTTCTTACCTTTCGGACATCCAATTCGTATATATAGTCAGCTGAGTCAAGAAGCACATAGAACATTGTCCTGCCGTTTAGCCCTGCCGCTGCATACATCCATTCACTCGTTGCCCCTAAATCGTTATACAGTCACCAACCAACAGGAGTGAACGATCTAATACCAAATATTAGAATGTGTCTTCTTGAAGGTTTGATTAGAAAAGGACTACAAACAACTATGTCTACTACAATGCAGCTGACGCAGATTCAAAAAAACAAATCTTTATCTCAAAACGTCTTCACCTAATTCTTGCTCGCTATCGAAAATAAATCAAACATGGAAAACTACTAATACCTCAACCTTACCCTTCAACTATTAAATCAATATCTTCAAGTCAAGCAGTATATTGACAATGATTTTGAATAGCACAATCTGCAAGAAGACAAAAACGATAATGCAAACAAAATACCTTGACGAAGCCAAAAAGTTCCGCAGACGTCGACTTCCTGCATGCTTGATCGCAGCAATTCGTATTCTGACAGCCAGCACTGAAATAAAGCTGCTTGAGATGATTAATGGCAGGTATTGAGAAATATCCACAAAATATGAACAACACTTCTCACCTCGCCAAGCAACAACATCCAATTATCTGCGTCATTCTCTGCAGTAAATACCACGGACTTAGTTGCTTCCTTCTCATTGAGCCTTATAGTGATAGTGTTTTCTTCCCGATAGATCAATTCACATCCAAGGAGGGAGAATGGACCGGCAAGACAAACATCCGTCTGAATCTCATCAATCAACGAAAATTTTGAAAAAAGTCAAGCGCTACTTCGAAAGATATTTACCGTGTCGTCATCGTGGAAACTAATCCTCATGGTTCTCAAACGGGCATGCACTTTTTTACGCTCTTTCTTCCCGACATGGAGCAATACATCACCGAAGAAGGCCACCGTCGTCTTGTTAAACTCTTCTCTTCCCGCATGACTTTCGTTATCCGACGCAACTGTAAAATCTAAATTTGTTCCCCAAAGAGTAGATCAAAGGGTTGTTCGGGAAGCAATTGCGTTTTTTGAGCGTTACAGCGAGATTTTTTACTTTCAATGAACGAGCCTCAATAAATGGCCCAGACCGCACTTCGCTCGATTATTCTTTGCTATCCTTCAGGTATTTTCATACCTCCTCTCTCATAAAAGTTCCGACTTTTTTTCGAAAAACTGGATAACATAAGATTTTGTATACTCATCTTCATCGAAAGTTTTCTCATTTAAGGAGTTCGCTACGACCGAAATAGGTGGTACTCTGATAGGTCAAGATCAGTGTTAGAGGGCTTTTCCAATTGCTTCATAACGATCTAATAAGTGCGAGTCCAAGCTAACTCTGATTACTTGAGAGCTAATTACATTCAAACTACATTACACCTTTACAATCCCATCAAAATTATAGCGAGACCTTCTTTGGATGGAGGTCCGCTTTGGACTTCGTCTGAGCAGGTTCATGTTTACCATAAGCGTTTGTGATAACATTATCGCAAACCCTCTGACTTTGACCAATAGCCACTACCCAGTTCATAAATGGATGGGTTTTATTGAAGCGCAAATCGCAGACACTATATCGCGGCGTCACGTGTGTCTCCCTAAACTCATGTGGCACTTGGACATCTAGCGCGCTGATCTTTACATAAAAGTCAAGCCATCAAAAGATCATCATCAAGGCTAATTGTCAGCCCATCTTGCAATGAAGAATTTCCAGAACGAAAATTTGTGAACCAGTTTTCACATGTGCTGTGTGATAACAGTGCCAGCTTATGTTTTACACATATCATAGAAAACATCAGCAGCTCTATGCTCCACATAACACTCCTGTTCAAACTGATCCTCAAATTACAAATGGTCATGAACACTTAACTTTTTTTCCTAAAAAATACCAATATATGTATACATATGAAAGATACAAAATGAATAGCGTTAAAACCCTGAAAAGCTTTTGAAGCAAGCGTTAGAATAATCGCCTTCAAAAATCGCAATTACTTCCTGAGCAACCCAAAACATTAAATTTCGTGGAATAAACATGAAACACCTACACGGTCTACAAAAATGCCAACACCCAAGCAACCGTCAGGCTCTTTCGCTCACAACAATTTCAAAATTTCAGGAAAAGGACATTGAAATAAGATAGCATTGTCAGGCGACACTTTTACTGACCAAGTTCAATGGTGTCATCAGCGATCTCCGGAATTTCTGCGATTTCTACCACCTTGTCGAACTGATCTATCAGAATAGGCGTCGATATGCTGTCGACACTCGGTGTAGTAGTCCTCAATTATATCAAAATCAAGGATTTATAAAATAACTAAAGAAACTATCAAAGTACCTGCGAGGGGACGGAGCATATTTGTCTTCAGAGCAACTCGTACATGACGAGGAAGGCACATTAGGAACGGGGAGATTCTTCTCCAGATGAGAATGCGGTACATCTTGAAACAGGAAGAACTTCAACAAACATTAGGATTACCATGGAATTGAAATGAAAATCTGTTGAAATCTTTTGATTCTCTCCATTATAAATATTTAATCGTAGTTGTCACTAAGAAGGTCACCCTCAGTTGGAAACTTAGTGACTAGTTCAATCACCATAAAGACATGTCAAATTCACGAATCAAAACAAGGCAATGAGTTCGCTTTGCGCTATAGCGATCTTCTTTCCTCTATTCTATTCGTCCAAACATTTAAGCACTACCAATTTACAATANAAAAAAAACGAAGAAAAACATACCTGCTGCAAGCGATAGTTCTGACGACTGACTGATGTCCTCCTCCATACCATTACTGAAGGAGAAGGAATCATTGCGAGCACTCACAAAGTCAACAAAGAAGACCTAACCTCCCGCTTTCCTCACTGGGTAAACAGCACGGCTTCGTTTCAACCACACATGGAGATGATTCCTTTGACACACTATTTCCTTCGACAACCATCTCAGACTCTTTCTTCTTCTTCAGTGACAACTTTTTTCTCAATGCACATAACGACATGTAGATTGGATTCTCTATGAAGTCAATATCGTGACTTTTTGGTTTTGTTACAGAGGATTGACATCTAAAGAAAAGGTGAACAAATCGGTACCAATCATGAAATTCATATTATCATTAACTCACTCTACAGTGTCGTAATGCTCGCTGTCGCCACCCGCATATTTCATCGGCTCCCGTCGTTTCTGTAATACTAACATGAGGGACTGAATCAGTTGTATTTACATCACCAAGTCAAATCAAAATCTTTTAAATGCAAAATGTTATTTCTGCCTAATTTAAACCTATTCCATCGAAGGATCCCGTTTGGCTGGACCAATACTATGAGTAATACTACTAGATGCTCACTTGACAACAACTTCAGTGAAGAGGCAAGGCAGCGACAGGAAATTCTCGGATATCATTAATTTTCCGTTACCATCATAAAGAAGTGGTGAAAATGAAAATGACTGATGGTTCATGATGGGTTGTGAAACAATAATGTGAGAAAACGAGATCATTTCTCAGCCACAGAATCCGGCACATGAGCATTGCGCATCGGAATTCTGCGGCCACACGCACTCGGTTAATGGCACATGGGGTTTACGTGGGGCAGTGCACACTACTGCCACACTAAGCATGATCCTTGAAAGCTTATTCTGAAAAAGCTGTTAGAAATGCAGCAAATGGCACTAGGTGACAGTAAAAAACTCAAAGATCAGAATGCGACGACGACGTATTTCAATGCAACGAAAAAATAGGAAGACAAATGAGCAATTAAAAGAGAACAGATGTTGCTATTAGTCGCTATTACTAGCCATAACAATTAGCAATGAAAGCTGCTATTTAGTTCCGAGAGTCAATAAAAATGTTAGATTCCGCTGAAAAGAAAAAAAAAAGCTCGAAAAAGGGAAAAAGAACAGAGAGGAAGAAAGGAACTCGATAGCCAACGAATCAAGCAAGAAAGCATTTCTGCCTG